ATAGTCTAAGCTTATTAAAGAAATTTTCAATGCTTTTTTTATCAATACTATATTGCAAATTGTGGTCTGTAACAGTTAAGTGTGCAACCAATTGGCATAAAGCCCAATTGTATTTCCCATAGATTTATTTTCATTCATATTGCTGCCTTTATCAAGTTTGTGCTTGCTGTATATAGAAAACTATTCAAATCATACTCACCTCCTTTAATTATCTAAACTGGACTTGTTCTGGTTAATGGTACCATGATGTGCATTATTATGCTTAACATCTTTTCAATCTGTTAACTTTATGTCAACTCAAATGATTATCGATCAATATAAATCAATATTTTTAGACCAAATTATAGGTAAATCAGATTTTTATACAGTGTAATAGCTCTATTTTAGCAAAATTAAAAGTATAATTTGGGTGAAGAATATAAATTTGGCCACCCAGAAGGTTTCAGAAATATAGACAGTTAACAAACAACACTTTTTGTTAACTTCCCAAAAAACACAAACTTAGTTACTGATCATGTTATTTAATGTTATACCAAATCTTAAACTCTTATTGGTCAATTACAGACATAATAATATAAATTGATACAAAAGATATTGGTCAACTCTGATTTGTTTGCAAACATGCTGGCTAGTATAGAAGCCAGGATATAATTTTTTATTGGTTAGAGAATATATAGGTTGATAATAGTTATACAAAAATGGAAATAATAGGCACTAATATGGCGAATTCCTAAAAATTAACAATAGTAATTGCACTAGAACTTGCTGTAACAGGCCAGATAGAAGTTAGATGATTGTTTTTTATCAGCTAGTGGTTTTCTGCTTGCCGAAGCAAGCTGGCTGTTAAATATAGCAAAAACAGAAGAATATTCCAAATATTTTGTCCTGTCTTATGTTGTGGCAGGTTGGGTGAAGTAGTGAAAATTGCTTAACGTTAAGATATGATTTTATTGAAGCAAGAGTTTTGGCTACACTGCGGCAGTGATATTTATAGGCATTGTATGTTATGCATTTTGTATTACTACTATGTGGTTGGTAGCTATGATGTAATATTTTCTGGTTATACGCATGTGGTGTGAGACCCAGATTAGTGTTTGACCTTATTTTTTGAAAAATTAACTTACATCAATACTCACAAAAAACATTAGTCAACACTGATCTGTTTGTAGACATGCTGGCTAGTCTAGAAGCTGGGATAATATATAGATTGATAATAGTTATACTAAAATAGAAATAATAGACACTAATATGGCAAATTTCTGAAAATTAGAAATAGCGATTGTGCTAGGACTCGCTATAACAGGCCAGATAGAAGTTAGATGATTGTTTTTTATTAGCCGGTAGTTTTCTGTTTGCTGAAGCAAGCTGGCTGTTAAATATAGCAAAAACAGAAAAATATTTCAAGGATTAACTGAGTGCCAGAGAGCACCGCTCTCTCTTTTTTTGGGAGGAGGTTTGAAACCTATTGTATGGATGTTTTTTTTTTGTTTTTTTTGTAGATTATTTGTGTAGCACATAGGAATAAGGTGACTCATTCTGTTTATAATATATATTGGGTATTTATATAATAGGTGTATGTATCTGTTTATCTATATCTATATGTCGTTATTTTTATTATTATTATTATTGTGTTTTTTTTTAGGTTAGAGGCTCAGAATTAGGCATAAAGTGCAGATTGTTAGTAGGTATCATTTCTGTATGATCGGCTATTATATGCTTTGTAATTGTTGATTTTCATTGCAAATTGAAAGTTTTATGCTGCTATATTAGGTATATATTTATTTACCCAGCAAGAAGTTAGATAAAGATCACATTGTCTGAAGATCTATGCATGCTCAACCAATCACAATTAAGTATATAAATAATCTAATTGATTTTTTTTCTTATATATTATAATACGTTTTGATAATAATAGTAAAAAATAAAAAGATCTTCTAGATCTACGTATTTATGTTATATTTATATACCTTAAGTTTTTACAAACTTTAATATACTTCTACTTATTGTAAAAAAAAAACCTTCTAGGTTATATGTATTTATATATCTTAAATTCTTACAAATTTTAACATACTTCTACTTATCATAGTAACTATAAGATAACAAATTTCCTCTCAACAAAAGTATAATTTTTAAATACTATTTTATAATACTAATTAGATTAAGCTATATGATATTAATTATTTGTTTCTCATAATCTGGCCAGGACCAACTTGAACAAAAAATTTCTGGGTTAAGTTAATACAATTTTTTAAATTAGTTTTTTTTAATATTTTTATCTTTGTTTTATTAATTAATTATTATTTCTTTGTCTTTTGATAGAATAATTTGTTCCTTGTAACTCAAAACTAGAAATAGGGCATTTATTGTATATAGCAATTTTTGATTTTCTTTTTATTCCCGCACTAACAATTGCTTCCAAATTAGTAGCAGTTATTTGATTCCTATTTTGCTAGTCATGCTTATTCCAAACTTTATGAATTGTACTTACCCAATCCTTAAAAAAGATATCAATAGTTTCCTCGAGCTCAGGTTCCTCTATTTCTTGGAGAAATAAAACTTTAGATACTGGTATAGAGTAATATTTTTGACATACAGTGAAAATATGTTTGCATACTATTCCATGAAGTTTATAGTTTGGGCATGTGTACTCAAAATATGCTGATTTTATATTAATATCTTTCTGCACATTATTCTTAATATTAACTTCATAATTATTATTATTATTTGTAGATGATTTTACATAATAATATCTACCAGACATTGCAAAACTTTCTAAATCTTGACATACAAGTTTCTGACATTGTTGTTTTTTTGACTGGTCTTTATTTTTCTAATCATCAAATTGATAGCTTTATACTCAAATTTTGTATCAGTTATGGCAGCTTGTAAAGTCCAAATTAGAGTATCAATTCAATAATTTTGCTTAGCACTTAGATAAGTATATTTGAGCTTTTTATGCTATGATTCAATAAAATTTGGTGTATTCATTTCTTGGTGTTTATATAATATATATGCATCAACCCACTTTTTATATTTATTAAAATATTTACTTTTTAAATATTTAGTCCATGTTGATTCGTCAAGATTAACCTATCAAGTAAAATAATTATCAAGTTTATTTTGTATTTGAGAAGTATTACAAAGCTACATAATATTATTAAGCTCATCTAATACAGCCTTTTGTACTACTTGCTTTTTTGATCATTTATAAACACTATTATTATAAGCCTCAAAAAAGTTAGTATCAGCTTTAATCTTGCTTTTATTCTTTTGCTAGACATTTTTTATATGCTATTGGCAAAGCAAGATTTTCACATTAGGAAAAACCGTACTGATAGCATTTTGTTGTACATTATTGCAATCTGTAAGAAAGTATGAGGTTTTCAATTTTTATTTTGATATTTTATATTTGTAAGCCAGTAAATTAATATATTACTTGCTTTTTTTTCTAAGATTAAATGTGCAACAGAAACATCTTGTCTACCATTATTATCTAATATAACCATGGTAAAAAGATGTGTATTATGCACTGTTGTTCTATAAGTTCTATCTATAAATACAGTTTGAGTGCTTTCATATTTTAGTAATTTTTTTTGGAATTCTGTTTGAAATCTGTATAAATAATCTAATTCTGAGCTCCAAGTTAGATTACTGCAGGTGTATATCTGTCTTCTTGAGATAAGGCAATCTATATATGTTTTTACTATAGCCTTGGTTATTATTATCTAAAAAAATAAAACCTTTTATCTCATCATGAAGTATGTTATAAACATCTATATAAGAGAAATATACATCTCTTTTTTAGGTTAAAGGTAAAGAGTTCAAATCATTAATATCATTGATACTATTTGTGCTAACTTCATGCCATCTCTAGCTCTTTCTCAGACTCATTCTTTTGCTGCTTGTGATAAATAGATATTATACAGATCTTTATTTGTTCCAGAAAAATATCTATTATAAAGTGTATAATGAGGGTTTAATACTCTTAAGTAGGGAGGGCATCAGCTTAAGCTGGCTCAGCTTGGCTCATAAAGCCAAGCCAGCTAGCTCGAGCCAGCTTACGTAATATGTAACAAATTTGAATTTGTCATATGATAAAATTGAATTAATGTGATAAAATCGAATTTATTATGTGACAAATTTGAATTAATATAATAAAATCAAATTTATCACATAATAAATTCGATTTTATCATATCAGCTCCAAGCCAGCTTGATGGCTAAGCTCAAAAGCCATGGCTAAGCTAGCTTATTATAAGCCGATGCTATCCTTACTTTTAAGTAGGATTTACATTCTATTTTTTTAAATAGCTTTTGGATTGGCCTAGAATTATTACACCCAGATAAACTTGCTATAGTTTGACTTACAACTTTAGTTTTGGCTCTGGAATTTCTAGTGCAATAACACTGATATGTTTCATTTAATTCATACTCTCGATTATCATGTCTGGCATGTCAAATATAATAGGCCACAGAAATATTAGGAAGAGTATTTTTAATCCATTCTTCGTATATATTTAATTCAAGATAATTATATGCTTTAATATAGTTATTTGAATTATGATTATTTGAATTATGATTATTTGAATCATAATCGTTTGAATCATAATCATTTAAATTATAATAATCTGAATCATAGTTATTTAGGTTATTGATTTTATTTTTACAACTATCTTTATTAATTATATAATTTATATTCTTTTTTATTAAAAGTTAAAAAAAAAAAAAAAATTGCATGCTTTTATTGTACAAGAATTTTGGTTAAGTATAAAGAAAATTTTAAACTAATGCTAATCACAAGGCAATATAATGCTAAAACTAACTCCTTTATAACTTTTAGATACGATTATTAGATATGATTATTAGAATACTTTTTTTTGTTTGACATTATGACATTAGTATTTTCTATCTAATTATTATTATTATTTCCTTACAAAATCAACAAACATTTAAGGAATGATTTTATCACAATTAGAGTCAAATCATTATGTGCATTGAGAATTATCTAGTATTTGGATGTTGAATTATAGAAGTATAATAATATAGGGCTAAAATCCTAGTTTTATGCAGTTATATATATTTATATATCATACTATAGATTAGAATTTGCCCAATTCATAATCTGATTGTCCTGATTCAGAATCAGATTACCCAGCTTTAAAATTTTTAAATGGGCTAACAAGCTTAAGGTTAGAGTTAAGGTTAGTATATTATTATAATTATAGTTCTTAAGCCAGGTATTCAGTTTAAGAATTCTAAAATTAGAACAATATATACATATTACACAAGGTTGGTCAAATTATTAGAGAACTAAAAATTTGTTAGTTAATAGTTAAAGGATCTCTGCTTAAATTTGCCTGATTAAGATGTGAATACAGATTATAAATTTAATTGAATAATAATAGAATTATAATCAAATTAACTGATGGTGATCGTCACCACCCCTAGATATATTTAGAGTTAGGAATTAGAGAATTATTTTTTTTTATATAAAATAATATAGAGCTACTATAAGAGCCCGATAGGACCCGATCTTAGTTCTTATAAAGTTTTTGGGGGTCCTGAACATTTTTATTTAGAGAATCCGATCCTGTTTACTTAGTACGTTTTTGAGATACAGGCACCCTGATGATGATCACTACCAGTTATAATTCATAATAATAATAATAATAATAATAATAATAATAATAAGGCTAGTGCTCAGCAAAGTCAAATAAAAATTTGACAATCAAATACTTAATAAAATATTTGATAATTATAATTTCCAAATCAGGCAAAGCATAATCTCTGATCTAAATTAAGCTTTGCATATCTATCATATTAACTATAATCATTATTGCAAGAGTTTTAGATTCTCAGGTTTGGGATTCATATTAACTTAAACACAATTTAAGCAAAATACAAATGTAACTTTATATATAATAAATATTAACAGCTTAGATTCTACTTTTATTACTACTAAAGCACACAATTCTCTGGTAATTTGAACGCCTTACTAAAGGAATAGAATCACTTTTGGATCTAAATAAGATATTAGAAATAGTTCCAAATAATGTAACAGCATTTAAATAATGGTCAAGACTGTGTAAAAATAAGGATCCCTTGTAAATTTAAATAAAGCATTAGAATTTAAACTAATAGTATTATCAAAAAGATAGATTTGAATAGAGCATTAGCAGAAAAGTAAATTTTTTTTTGAATCTGATTCTTGGATTTCTTGAATGACATAACTAACATCTCTTTTCTCTTCCGGCACTTATTAAAAGTACCCCTGGAACTCTTCATTTCATTTCTTGGGATGTATGATTTGCTTCATTTCTTGGGATGTATGATTTGCTCTGTGTTTTTATAGCGATCTTTTTTTTTCCTTCTCCAGTTCTTATTTTGAATCTGGTTCTTGGATTTCTTGAATGACATAACTAACATCCCTTTTCTCTTCCGGCACTTATTAAAGGTACCTCTGGAACTTTTCATTTTAGTTCTTGGAACATATGATTTGCTCTGTGTTCTTATAGTGCATCACTATCTTTTTTTTTCCTTCTCCAGTTCTTATTTTGAATCTAGTTCTTGGATTTCTTGAATAACATAACTAATGTTTTTTTTCTCTTCCAGGCACTTATTAAAGGTATTCCTGGAACTCTTTATTTCAGTTCTTGGGACGTATGATTTGCTCTGTGTTATTATAGCGCATTATTATCTTTTTTTTCTTTCTCCAGTTATTATTTTGAATCTGGTTCTCAGATTTCTTGAATGACATAACTAACGTCCCTTTCTCTTCTGGGCACTTACACAGGTCAAAAGATAAAAAATCAGGCACAAATCAGGTACCCAATTTTAAACTGATTACTACCTGATTATTACCTGATTTATGCATATTTTTGTACCAAATTTTTGGTACAAAAATATGTATAAATCAGGTAGTAATCAGATAGTAATCAGTTTAAAATTGGGTACCTGATTTGTGTCTGATTTTTTATCTTTCGACCTGTGTTATTAAAGGTATTTCTGGAACTCTTCATTTCAGTTCTTGGGACATATGATTTGCTCTGTGTTCTTATGGTGCATCACTATCTTTTTTTTCTTCAGTTTTTTTTTTTAAGGAAGTTAATTTTTTTTTTTTTTGAATCTGGTTCTTGAATTTCTTGAATGATATAACTAATGTCCCTTTCTCTTTTGGGCACTTATTAAAGATATCTCTGGAACTCTTTATTTTAGTTCTTGGGATGTATGATTTGCTCTGTGTTCTTATAGCAAATCACTATCTTTTTTTTCCTTTTTCAGTTCTTATTTTGAATCTGGTTTTTGAATTTCTTGAATGACATAACTAATGTCCCTTTTCTCTTCCGGGCACTTATTAAAGATATTCCTGGAACTCTTTATTTCAGTTCTTGGGATGTATGATTTGCTCTGTATTATTATAGCACATTACTATCTTTTTTTTTCTTTCTCCAGTTCTTCATGCAATCAATAATCAAGGTACCTTTCGTACCCGATCTTGCATGTGCCGCCCCACATCTCACGACTCTGATTGATCACGTGGTCACGTGAATCGATCAATTCATACTTTCGTCCATCCTTCAATTTACTGAACCCTTCGTCCTCAATTAGTATACCTTTCACTAGGTATAAAGGGTTTTTAGAAACTATGCGACATGAGCTGGGCCCCCATTGGTCCTCGTCCTCGAGGGCCATGCTCTCTTCTTTCGAAATTTCTTTGGTTTGATTACCCCAGGTATGCAATTTCTTCACCCTATTTCTCATCACCGGATCTTTTATTTCACTACCATCAAGTACATTAGAACATAGTTGTTCACTTTTTCTGATCTTTCGAACCTTATATGGCCCATCCACTGATAGTCCAATTTCTGACCCTTCACTTCGTCACCCCATACAACATTCCATTTACTCTGACCAATACCTTTTTCATGGTTCTTATCATCATGAAGCTTCAGTCTTCGATAACTCGAATTATACAGCCTTATTGGATTATTCATACAATCTTTAGCTTTCAACATACCATTCAATATTCACATGGTACTTGGCTGATTCACATACTCAGCGCACTCATGATCATGTGCTTTATTACTACAATTTATTTTCCCCAGGCTTTGATAATGAGCAAATGCATTCTGTTTATCCTTTTCATTTTTGACTTCACTTTCGAGGTAATTCTCAATTTCATTTGTTCTACTATCTGCAGCTTCACCTTTAACACATCTTATATCCATGAGTTCATTTTCTCTTCGATTATCGTTCTTCATCATTCCACCTTTATTAATCACATAATCGTCATTTATGTCTTCATCAATTGCAAAATCTTCTGAAATGATGAATGTCGTTTCATTATATCCAGATTGGATCGTACAACAACACTTTTTATCCTCCCATTTGAAACTACACCTAGTTTTCATAAACCACGCCATTCCAAGAACTACATCAGAAGCTAATTTATACTTCACATGAAACATTTGAACTACTTTAATACTATCAATATCAACTTCTACTCTGGAAACATATCCGATGAACTCATTATTACACATATCACCAATAGTTGATCCATCGTCCCATCGTTTCCAAGTAAGCCCTTTCTTTTCTACATAATCTATGTTTATTAAATTTACACATAAACTAGTTCTAATTGATGCTTTCGCTGATTGTCCGTTTATATTCACTAACTTTCTTATTGTATCGCTATTGTTATCTCTCTTTATATCATCACCTTCAATACACTTCAAATTCGATTCAGATGCTTTATATTCATCCTCAACAGATCTTTGGTTGTCAATGAATGCTATACGTTCATCTCTTTTAATTTCTATTCCATTTCGATAACAGCTTCGTACATCAAATGCCTTACTAGCATTATCATCTTTAACTGATTTCAAATGCTATCCAAGTGCCTTGTTGTAATCCTTTTCGACACCAATTTCGTCATAATGGTAAGAGCCTTCACAAAGCGTCCTATCGTTGCTCAATTCTTCTACTTTCATATATTTAAAGATTTTCACATCTTGGATTTTACTATTCGAATCTGTATCCTTTTTCTCTTTCTCTTGCTTTTTATTTCTACTTCTTTCATTCACCTCAATTGCATTTTTCTCCTTTTTAGCGCCAACTCCACAAGATTTCATCTTACTAAACTCATCACTTTCAACATCATCAATCCTCCTTTTTGCTTCAAGATCTTCTTTCGATTCTTCTTCATCATTGGATATTTCATCAACATCTTCGATCTCCCCATTCTCTTCAGGCATGTAATAAAGTTTTTTATCCTTGATCACCTCATTGTTACACCCTTAATGTTACCTTCATCTTGCGTCAACGATTTTAATAGATTTATCATCATCGCATCCATTTTCATTACTTGGTCCAGTGATACTTCCATCTCTACTACTGGTTCTTCTTGATAAGGATGTTCAACTTCGATCACTTCATTAGCGTCACTCATAATGGCTGATTTTTGACAATAAACGAACAACATCTTATGTTCATCCTTTTCTTTTTTGATTTTACTATTATGAGAATCTTTTCAGATTCATTCGCTCTATCAGCATTACTGTTGAAATAAACTTCTCTTTTACTATCTTGGCCAGTTCCCCATCGTTATTAACTTTAAATTCATTGTACACAACATCATCATTATAAACCTCAACATTAATCACTTTTTCGGCATTACCCATATCTTCATATTTTGGTAATTCATGAATGCCTTACTTTCATCCTTTTCCATACCATTTCTATGATGTTACCAATGTCCAACAATAGATGCTTCGTTAGCATCACTCATATCAGCAGATTTCTTATGCGCTGTTTTATTATCATTCGTAAGTATGTTTTCAACATTCTTATTTTCCACTCCACACGTTTCTTTGTTTCTCTTTTTATTGACATTAACCTTTTTTTTCGTATCTTCTTGCTTATCATCACCACCTCTTTCGTACACTTTTATTTTACCATTTTCATAATTCGCATCATTACTGCCAGACCTGGTTCTTGTCAATGACTCCAACAAACCTTTCATCATAGCATCCATTTTCGTCACTATGTCCAATGGTGCATCTAACATTACCGTCACTTCATTTTGATAACAATTCCCAACATCAATTGTTCTATTAACATCACTCTTCGAATAGACTTCTCCTCTATTATCCAAGCCAATGTCCCTAAAATTTTCATTCAATTTACTTTTACCAATGTTCTTTTCACACGCTAATTCCATCCTTTTACCTTTCAGTTTATCCCTTTTGCCGATATACTTCACAGGTATGACGCCACTTTTTATGTGCGTCATTTTGTTACTAGTATTTCTACCATGCCTTTGATTATGGTTCATACTTCTCCTAACACTATCATTATTCACAACTTTCGCTCCTTTTCCCATTTCCATAAACCTGAGGGACCTTAAATCCTTGATGTTATCATTCAGATATGTGTCGTTTCTCTTTTCTTTTCGGTTATTCTTTTTATTTACCTTCTTTTTATCTTTAGGTACATCTATGCCACGTTCCCAACGTTCATGCTTCACTTGACTTGGACAATCACGGGCAAAATGTCCTTTATGTCTACATACGTAGCACAGCCGAGACCTAAAATGACATCGTTCTCCGTGCATCTTTTTCAAGCTTTTCACGGCTTCAGCAACCAATCCCATCATACTTTTTATTAACGACACAAAACCAATTTCACCTTCCATTTTTCTTCGTTTACCACTCAGGTATTTGTTATTATCGAAAGATACAAATAATGTTCTTTCATATTCCTTATACAATGTTTGAATACCAACTTTTACTCAACAAATGCCACTGAGGCAATTAATTCACAACTTTCGGCAAGCACGGCCTTTATACTTTCCTGTGCACAAATTAACTCTATTTTGCGAGTAGACCTTCGCTTGCCCAGGTCCTTTCTGTCACTGAGTTACCTAAACTACCATGTATATGTGGGTCTATACTATCAATTAACACTCGCTTGGCTTTACTTTGCGATGACTGGTGTATCGTACCAGATACTACCACCAATATGATCACTAAGATACAGTTTATTCACTAAGAATACTTTAAAGAACTCAATTCTCCAGTCCAAAGACCGTTTAATTCTTTATTTATATTTCGCTATTTAAGCGATTCAAAACAATTACATATTTTGTATTACAGTTTAACTATTTCTTTGTTATTAATTAATTTAACTTCTCATTGTTCACCAACCCAACGTCATATTCATGCAATCAATGATCAAGGTACCTTTCGTATCCGATCTTGCATGTGCCGCCCCGCATCTCACGACTCCGATCGATCACGTGGTCACGTGAATCGATCGATTCATACTTTCGTTCATCCTTCAATTTACTTAACCCTTCGTCCTCAATTAGTATACCTTTCACTAGGTATAAAGGGTTTTTAGAAACTATGCGACAATTACTATCTTTTTTTTTCTTTCTCCAGTTCTTATTTTGAATCCGGTCTCGGATTTCTTGAATGACATAACTAATGTCTCTTTTCTCTTCCAGGCACTTATTAAAGATACTTCTAGAACTCTTCATTTCAGTTTTTGGGACGTATGATTTGCTCTGTGTTCTTATAGCACATCACTATCTTTTTTTTTCCTTCTCCAGTTCTTATTTTGAATCTGGTTCTTGGATTTCTTGAATGACATAACTAATGTCTCTTTCTCTTCCGGGCACTTATTAAAAATACCTCTAGAACTCTTCATTTCAGTTCTTGGAACATATGATTTGCTCTGTGTTCTTATAGCGCATCACTATCTTTTTTTTTCCTTCTCCAGTTCTTATTATGAATCTGGTTTTTGGATTTCTTGAATGACATAACTGACGTCCCTTTTCTCTTCCGGCACTTATTAAAGGTATTCTTGGAACTCTTCATTTCAGTTCTTGGGACGTGTAATTTGCTGTGTTCTTATAGATGCATTACTATCTTTTTTTTCTTCAGTTTTTTTTTTTAAGAAAGTTAATTTTTTTTTTTTTGAATCCAGTTCTTGAATTTCTTGAATGACATAACTAACGTCTCTTTCTCTTCCGGTCACTTATTAAAGGTATCTCTAGAACTCTTTATTTTAGTTCTTGAGACAAATGATTTGCTCTATGTTCTTGTAGATGCGTAACTATCTTTTTTAGATATTTTCATTTATATGTTTATTATAAATAATAGATTTGTAGCTATATAGTATTTTTTACATATAGTCTTTTGGTAGTGTATCATTATTGCTAGTAGCAGATTTAGCTATTATTATATATAGATAATAATTAGGTTGTTTTTAGTACACTTGTGTGATGATATTTTATTAAGATTGGGTTAGAACAATAATAATAAGTCCATTTTTATTTTTGGTTAAAAATTTTATTATAAAATATATACATTTTTTTTAATATTAATAAAAATAAAATTACATAATATAGCAGTAAATAGCAATAAATACTATACTATAATATATAACATTTTAATTTATCTAATCACAAAGTGCAATTGCTTTTTGGATTGTTTCTGGATTTAACGATTCACGCTTTTTAGTATTCATATTAGAACCTCTTGAAAACAGTCTCTCGGATAGAGCATTCAATGCAGATATGGCAAGGAAATCACGTGCTATACGTGCTAATTTTGGAAATGTTTTAGTATGCATGTTCCACCATTGGCATATATCTATACTATCATCTACTACGGAGCTATTTCAATATAAATTAATTTTATCTATATTTGTAGAATGAACTTTTTTGAAAACCCATCTAAGACAAGTATTAGAATTATTACTATCACTATTATTAATTTCTGTATCTAATTCTGGTACTACACTATCTTATTTACTATCACTATATATTTCATTTAAACAATCAATTGCCCAATCAATCCATCTTTTATCCCACTTATTTACTTCATAATATACCTTTTTTAATCTTGGATCTAATAAGGTGGTTACCGCGTACATAGGACTATCACTCCTGGAATAATAAAATCTTAATTTCTTAAGTGCTGCATTAATAGCATCATTAATTATTGGTGATAAACCTTTTTCCTGCGATTTCTCAAGATTGTCCATAATAAGATTATATGCAGGAATGGCAAAAGGCATTGTTACATATGACTCACCACACATTGTCTCAGATATATCACGAAAAATTTTTAAAGGTAATAAAATTTCATTCAATATTGTCCATTCTGTTCTTAGAAGACCAAATCTACTTAGCTCTGGAATTTATCTAACTATTCTATTTAATGCTAGAGTCATAATAATAGCTCTTTCAATCATATTAAGAGTTGAGTTCCATCGCGTTTTTGAGTCAAGAATTGGATTCTTATATTCTATATTTAGAGTTGTACATATTTCGCTTAACAGTTGACAACGTTGGGGCGAATGCCGAAGTCTTGCAATAAGTCTACAAAGTTTTTTAATTATTGGGACTTGGGAATTATTAGAAGTATTGTTTTGGACTAAAATATTAAGATCATCGTCTTCTTGATCTGGTGCTTCAGAATGTAAATAAGATAAAAAATCTTGCAAAGCAAGATTAATAACATGAGCAATACACCAGACATGATCTTGCTGCTGAGTGAAAGAACCCCAATTTCCATAGAATATGATTCAAATGCTTTGATTAATGTATTATTACTAGAAGCATTGTCAACTGTTATACTAAGTATTTTATGAGTAATGCCAAAGTCTTCGCAAACTTTTATTAAAGTATTTGCTATATTCGCCCCAAAATGCGGTTCTTCGAATGGCACAAGATCAAGTATGTGGCATTGAAATTCCCAGTTATTATTGAGCCAGTGGACTGTAATTTCTAAAAAAGACTTACAACTATTACTAGTCCATATATCTGTGGTAAGTGAAATCATACTTGAATTATTTTCTAGTGTTTTTTTTAATAATGCCTTTGATGCTAAGTAATGTTCTAATAGATCTCTTTTAATTGTACTAGCAGACAGAATTGTGACATTATCTTTTAATTTTCTAATTACTTCAACTAATTTATGAAAACTTTCTGACTCTACAGTAGTGAACGGAAGGCTGTCTTTTATAATCCACTCAACCAATGTTTCTCTAGACTGAGAAAAGAAACTGGCTAACTCTTCAGGACTGATAATGTTTGGGATTTCAATTTTATAAACATTAATAATGTGGCTATACAAATTGGAAGTACTACTATTATTCATGGTAAGATACTTGATTCCTGGGCATATTTTACATTTGGCTTTTTTTTTGTCCGATTTGTCTTCAATAGGAAAGTCAAAGTATAGCCATACTGGAGCTAGGACATGCATACTAGTAGTGGATGTCATTCGAAGTTAGAAAGGTATTTTAGATGACAGGTTGATGGTTTATTATTTAAAACAAGGTTAATAGAATATAATAATATTTTGGTTTATTTTTTTAGAAAAAAAACAACAAAGGTACAATCTTTATTTATTAATACTGCAGGCTTTATACTTTTTAAATCTTTTTTCACACATAATGATCAAGCAAGCATAATAATCAAACAAGCATAACATCAAGCAAGCAAATGATTAAGCAGCATAATGAGCAGGCATAACAATTACGCATAGAGACTATATAGTGATCAAGCAAGCATAATAATCATGCATAAAGATTAGATAGCAATTAAGTATATATAGTATAAAGATTAAATAATGATTAAGCAATCATGCATAAAAATTAAGCATAAAGATTAAATAGTGATAATGATCTCACATAAAATTTAATGCATTGGTTATTTTTTTTTAATCTAAAATATGTTTTTTATTAATGAATATATATATACATTTTATAATAAAAATAGACTTATTATTATTGTTATTGTATAATCTAGTAACTATTTACATTCTGTATACTAATCCTACCAACCCTATAATACAATTGTCCTAGCCCAATTTTAATAAAATATAATCACACAAGTGCACTAAAACAACTTAATTATTATCTATATATAATAATAGCTAAATCTGCTACTAGCAATAATGATACACTACCAAAAACTTTATGTAAAAAATACTATATAGCTACAAATCTATCATTTATAATAAAGATATAAGTGAAAATATCTAAAAAAGATAGTTACGTGTCTACAAGAACATAGAGCAAATCATTTGTCCCAAGAACTAAAATGAAGAGTTCTAGAGATACATTTAATAAGTGCCCGGAAGAGAAAGGGATGTTAGTTATGTCATTCAAGAAATCTGAGAACCGGATTCAAAAAAAATAACTGAAAAAAAAAAGACAGTAATGTATCTATAAGAACACAGCAAATCACACATCCCAAGAACTGAAATAAAGAGTTCCAAGAATACCTTTAATAAGTGCCGGAAGAGAAAGGGACATTAGTTATATCATTCAAGAAATCCAAGAACCAGATTCAAAATAAGAACTGGAGAAGAAAAAAAAAAAGATAGTGATGCGCTATAAGAACACAGAGCAAATCATATGTCCCAAGAACTGAAATGAAGAGTTCCAGAAGTACCTTTAATAAGTACCTGGAAGATAAAGGAATGTTAGTTATGTCATTCAAAAAATCCAAGAACCAGATTCAAAATAAGAACTAGAGAAGAAAAAAAAGATAGTGATGCGCTATAAGAACACAGAGCAAATCATACATTCCAAGAACTGAAATGAAGAGTTCCAGAGATACCTTTAATAAGTGCCCGAAAGAGAAAGAGACGTTAGTTATGTCATTCAAGAAATTCG